CGACTTACGTAGGTAGGTAGTAGTACGACGTTACTTTTACGTTTCGTTAGTACTAACGTAAGTAAGGTAAGTAGTAGTACAACTAACTACTATATAGTACACACACACACACACACACACACACACACACACACACACACACACACACACACACACACACACACACATGCATACTGTAAAGCGGAAACTTGATATATTAACACACTCACAGAACAGATCACTTGATTATTTTCCATTGTGCAAAATTTTGTTTAAAGAAGGCAGCTTGAAAATAAAATATATATATATATGATAGTGTAAAGAAACTTGATACTGTAACTTTTTTAAATAAGTATGAAATTATTTTAAATAATTTTATATTTTAGGTTTGTTCTACTACCATCATATTTAATGAATATTGGTTTGTTGTTCTTGGTGATTTAATAAGTTTTGTAGAAAATTAGATAAATCACAAGTATTTGAACATTATAACCTTTTAATTAAGGCCATTCTATGTCCTCCAAAAAGTTAACTCTACATGTTTTGACATTACAATGTTGTCATCAAGACATCGTCCTTGCAAGATATGACAGTGTTATATTTATACCTTTAACTAGATCATGTGACCTGTGTATTGGTTACAATTCATACATGACTTTTAGAGGAGGACAAGCCACATTCTTACAGATATTCACTGGACCTTTATATCTATTTAATAATTCATAATCTTTATACTTCATTATTTTTAAGGATTCACAAATATTATTGGCTCTAATATTTGTTGTTTGAGCCAATATTGCAGTTTTTTCTCCCATAATGTGTTGTGTTTCATTTACATGTTCTGCTATGTCGAAATTTTCAATGTTTTATATTTTTTACATATCCCTTTTGCTCTGTTAAATGATATTTTTAAGTAACTATTTGTCTATTCAATATATTTAAACCAATAAATAACATAAGGAATTTTTAGGTAATACTAAATACAGCATACAGTTAACAGGAAAGTTGGAATATATAAAACTTAATGTGACTGTAGAATTATTTATATGTCTTTGTTAGGATGCGAGGTGTTGATGTGCCTGATATTGTCACTAGAAAGGGTTCTCACCTTCATTCTCCAGAACTAGAACAGCTTGTCCCGGACACTCTTGAGTGTGATGAGACAGGATTAGTGCTAGATGAACCTCTGTCACCTTATGATGATGATTCATCTCAAACAGAAAGCCACCCTCCTGAAATGAAAAACAATGGAAATGCTACTGATGCAGAACCTGAGATCTTTGTCTTAGATAATCATAGTGAAGAGCAAGAGAGTGAACAATCTAAGGTGTTAATTCTTACAGAACTTGGTGTGGGTTATTTGTATTGCCAAAAATGTTTGTTTTGTATCTTTTTCATAAATGTATGTGATTTAAGGGGGGAAAATGAGAATTAACATAGTTGATTTTATTAAACGAGATATTTCATTTTTTTTGCTAAGTTAAGATTCTTCTTTGTCTACTACCTCAAACATATTATTGAAATAATGATTAAGTTCATGTTCAGTTCTTTTCTTTACCTTTCCATTGAAGATGTAGTGGTACTTTGCTCATTTTTTAGTTAACAGGTGGCTTTCTGAGCTTAATAAAAAGAGATTCTAGCATTCTGTGGGGTGATTCTTCCCACAAATAGAGAATAATGCAGAAAAAACTGGAGGTGGGTACCACATCAATTTTGTTATTTATTTATTTAGTAATACAGATATTGTGGGTTTTAACTACTAGGCTATCAAAACTAGCTCTTAACTAGATGATGAGTGCACTACCACTACATCTTCAATTGCACAAATGTAAAGAAAAGATCAGAATATGAGATGGACTATACACTTAATGGTAACATAGGACTTTGTTTATATCAGATTGTGTGTGCAGCATTTGTGGACACAAAATACATGATATAAAATTGCTCAAATTACTTGCCAATGAACATTGACGTATTTGAAAAACTTTCATATTTTACCTCTAATTTTGTATATTATTCCTTTTTACTTAAAGTACATTCAAGTTAAAATGAAAACAACTTGCATAATACATTATTATTGTTTAACATAGTTATCATAAACTATCAAGTGAAAGAAAATGGCACACAAAATTACAGAGTAGTTTCATAAAATTGTTGTTAAAACAAAATATTTAAGAAAAAACTTGATAAATAGATGGTTCAGCTTTTGATTTTTTATAATTATTCTGAATATGTTAAGTTCATTTAATGCAATTAATATAGTATTTTTTAAATTGTTTCCTGAACTTATCTACCAGAAGTTGCAAATTTATTAATGAAATTAATGTATTATTTATTAAATGGTTTTGAAAGACTTATACTAATGCCACTTTTCAATTGGAAATCTTCCAGTTATTAAAAAAATAGTATCTTTTTTAATGTCTTCAGAGATGAATATTTAATAGTAATATGTGGAATTAATAGATATTACTTAGTCTTTTCCTGTACTGTTTTCCATACTGTAATTACTAAATGATTAAAAAGTGTTTTGTCCACTTTAACCAATTTCCTTTCACATAGGTTCAATAGTTCTTTCTTTAAAAAACACATCTTCTATTTCATTCTTTGTACAGAAAACTGACTCATTAAGAGTTATCACAGTTTTTATTGTGCTGTTTTTTAACTTGTATCTAAAATGTGCTTACTTCTCAGTCTCAAAAAATAATTAATAAATATAGTGCAATGTATTGTTTGTCTTTTCTAGTGTTATCCTGAGATCCATGAAACTTTTGAAGACTCTGGAGAAAGTACAGAGAATGGTTTTAGTAGATATATTAAGAAAGAGCTAGAAAACTGGGAACCAGTAGACAATCTAGAGCAAGATGAGAGTGGGAAAGAACAACCAGATGATGATGATGCCACAAGTGGAGAAGCTGATGCTCAGAATCAAACTCTATTACCAAAACTAGAGTCAGAAGACAAGATATCAGCTTATTCATCTTCAGTACCAAACCTACCTTCCACTTTTTGTCATTGGCCACCAGAAGAAGCTCAGGGAGATGACAAGAAAACACCACCTAGTGAAAGCTTTGAAGTGGAAGGTTTGATCTCTTCAGAACCTAAAGAAGTCACACCAACCAAGAAGCTTACCCCATGTTTAAGAATAACTGACAGCTTACAAGACAAACCCAGACCATTACCACCACAATATAACATTTCTGATGTGGCTGCAGAGAGTGTGATATGGTTAGCACATCGTCTTGGGCCAGTACTTACTGCAAAGTATTTAACTCGGAACTTGGTCAGAATGCTAACTTTGTGTTATGTCGGACCAGAGCAGTTAACATCTGTAGAAAAATTGGGAAAAGAAGGTGAGTGTAATTGTATTTAGAATTAATATTTGTAGTTATATTGGGTTTAATATAAACTTGAGGACAATGATCTGACAGCTTAATAAATTGTTCATATTGTAATATTTAATGTCACATTTTATTGCATTCATTTTAATTTAATTGTTAAAATTAATATTGTTCAGTTCTTTAATTTCTGCTTTAGATATACAATCACAAAATCTCACTATTAGTAAAAAGTGGGTTCTTGGGGATGAGAGTGCTTCCAAGGTGCTGGAGTGTCTTTCTGCAACTGCAGCATTGTATGGAGAACATTTCATTATTCTGCAGTACCTTCCTCATGTAGCAGACTTGGTAAGCAGTGTAACGAAGGTAAATTATTCCTTAAGTGAAAGTTGTTTTTGACATGAATATTGCATGCTTACAACTCTGTTATTATATATTAAATCAAATAACCCAAAATTTTTTTGTTTAGAATAAGTTATTAACTTATCACTTCTCTTTCTGTTTGGATCTGTGTTAAATGTATCCACTTCTGATACTTCTTTTTTTTTTCCATGCACACATACATTATATAAACTGAATGAGAACAATCATGTGAGAAAAGAGTGAAACAAACCAAAAGAAGTTTCTCTACAATGTTTGTACATGTAAAAAAATAAGCAACTGACTAGTGTTTGGTGGTTAAGTGTGTATTGTTATTACAAATGTGAAATTTGAATGATTTGATATTGATAAAAGTGAAATGACAAAGTAAATATTGACCGTCAGAACCTTGAAATAATATTCCTCTGTCATAACTAATGCATTAACTTCACAATTTTTCAGGTCATAGACAGTCTAACTGAAAAGAAGAAGAATATATATAAATTAATAAAAACAATGATTGACTATTGGATGATCTGCAGATGTCATTCATGGGACAAGCTGACATTAATCAGTGGCATGCATTATGCTTTCTATTGGAAGAATCATAGCCCTCTCAGCATCAATCATGTATTTCCTCCAATTTGAGTCCTATTCTAACTTAAAAACTTTATATGGTCACATTTTGTATTGGAGCATAAGATTTTTAACTTGCTTTATGTGTTTGGCTGACTCCTGAGCTTTTGTGGTTTTTCCCTTTGCTTTAGTCAGTTCTTTTCAACCTTTCTTATCTTCTTTGAACTTGTTTCTTGAAATTGTACTTATCCAGGTGAGCTTTCTGGTTTCTATGTTTATCTTCAAGTAATTCAAATATGCAAGAAAGAGAGGTGACTGCAAAATTTCTTCATTGTTGTACATCAACCTGGGAACTCAATCTGACTGAAGATTGATAGATTAGTTGTCACAGGAATGTTATGACTTCTGTATAACCCAAGAATGACTCAATTATGGAAAAAGGTGTAATTTTAAAGCATAGGAGTAAATTTCAAGTATTGGTTTGTTTGACAGAACATTATATACCAAATATACTTAAACAATGCAGTGTATGAAATGTACTGTGAGTGATTTATTGTTAACATTCTTATGATATTAAAATACTTCCCTCCTTTCTAGACATTATTATAGCCTAGCCTAACTCTGTTTCATGACAAATTTTTGTAAAAACACTACTTATAAGGCAATCCTTAACAGTGACTCTCCGGGATTGTTTGTTCTGTTTGTTGAAGGTAACCCAAGGAAATTACAGTAAAGTATTATGGAGTTTCACTTTGAAGTTTAATGTGTCAAAAGGTTGTTACAGTGGTAAACCTCTTTCTAGTTTAACCATAAGTACTAGTGTGTTAAAGAATTCTTTCTTACCTAAACATTTCTCAATATCTCTCACTTGTCAACACCTTTTTATTAGGCTAGACTTCATCTTCTAGTAGTTAAGCTACCTTTTACTTTGGGAAAAGGAAGACAGGTACACGTTTCACTTTTTGTACCACTTCACATTTGTTGTGGCCTGGCATGGCCAGGTGGTTAGGGCGCTTGACTCGCAATCTGAGGGTCGGGGGTTCGAATCACCATCCTAACAAACATGCTCACCCTTTCAGCCATGGGAGCATTATAAAGTGATAGTCAATCCCACTATTTGTTGGTAAAAGAGTAGCCCAAGAGTTGGGGGTGGGTGGTGATGATAGCTGCCTTCCCTCTAGTCTTTCATTGCTAAATTAGAGATGACTAGTGCAGATAACACTCGTGTAGCTTTGTGTAAAATTCAAAAACAAACAAAAAAAAAAAACACATTTTTGCTTTTTTCTCACCTCATTTTAGGATCTATAGGTGTCTTAACTTTTAGACACATATCTGAAGCAGAATTTTCTATAGATTAAATTTTTATCTTTATGCTTATACACTTTAAAACTTACAGGTATGTACATTTTTATTTCATCATATTTCATATCTAATTTTATAATGGAAACTTTCTTCATTCCAGACATGACATGTTTGCCTATGACCAAGTTGTCATGAACTTGTCCTACTTTTTCATGACCAAATTTTAGTGTATGAAAGTGTGTGTGTGTGTGTGGGCATAACATCAAAAATTCATTTCGTGGAGAATGACAAGTAATAAAACGTAAATCTGTAAATTTTTTTTAATAAGAACTGATATCTTAAATGACAACTGTTCAGTTATTTTATGGCTATTTAATGATAACTAAAAAATAAATAGGGCCTACTTAGAATCTATCTTAATAGGAAATGAAACAACTGTAATAAGAGCAGGAGTGAAATTTTCAAACAAAAGTAGAGGTACTCAGCTGGGTGAAGTAAACCTGTTTTTGAAAAAGTACAGAATGTAAAGTAAATTACTCATTATAATATAGTTATTAATTGGGCAAAGCATAATTTTTATATCTTTCAATCTTATTTGGTTACGGAGCCATAAACTAGAAAATTATACCCCTTTTGCTATGCCCACCTGTCACATCCTCTCTGTTAGAATTTGCCAATACTTCTCGCGGACGTTTAGACTATAATATTTATAACCGATAGAAAAACCAATATTTTAATCTATCTAATGAAGTGTCATATTACATTGGTTTTTGTACAGAGGATTGTGTATTTTGCTTCCAATTCTAACTTTATTCCATGGAAAACACACTCACAAGCTTAGCTGAATTTTTAATGGCTTTTATTGTGTAGTTAGATAGCCAGAAAAATTTATAGTTATGGGACAATGTCTGCTTTTCACATGTTATTATTCTGTGTTCATAAGTGCATTATTTAATTAGATAAAAATTATTTAGCTTGGTAGTACCATTAATATAAAAAAAAAAGTAGGCTTAACTTTCATTGACAGTCGACAACAACAAATAAGAAGACCCAGATAAATACTATATTTACTGTTTTTCATGTATATTCTTTATTTATTATTATAAAAGTAATTAAAATGTAAAAATTGGAAGCTTTTTAGGTTAGATAAGATAGAATAAAGAATGATAATATTTTTAATGAGGTATGCTCACAATCAGCCGACGAGTAGTCTGTGCATTATGTAATTTTGATACTGTAACGTGGCATGTTTGCCATGTGATTTACAACTTGTATGTTACAAATATTAGTTAGATATGGTTCAAAGGGCAATAAAATAAAAAAATCTAAGTATAAATAGGTGTATACTGTTATGAACTTTAAGTTGTTTCAAATATGTAGTCATTCTAGAAAGAAAAAAGGATGATTTAGATTTATTTTTAATGATGGTTATGAGGTTGGGCAAAGTGACCAACTTTGTATAAAGTTAGGGTAGAGAAAATAACTGATAAAATAAAAACAGTTTAAATTTACTTAGGATGTTTTAGAGATTATGCAAATGAAATTTGAGTTTTCAAATGAAGAAAAGTATTTTTTATCTTAACATGAAAATCACTTTGCACTTGGAGCACTTAACACTTTGACTCTATATAGTCATGGAGAAGTTTTAGTAAAGATACTTAATTAAAAATTCTGTATTTTTTTTTTTTTTTTTTATTATATATATATATATATATATATATATATATATAA